TGGGTGGTCAGGATTCAAAGCCCCAGCCGTCCTAGCAAGCAGGGCCATATATCGCTGACGACGGAGGGTATATTATCAACACGTGCCGTGCTGTTGGAACTTCGGCTGGTGGGCACATGTAGCCCCAAACCCAAATTAAGCTCGAAACCTTGTCTTCCAGAACGATGTTAGATTGACTCCTGCAGCCAGGAAAGCAAGTAGCTTGATTCGTTCTGCCGCTAGCGGTCCGAGTGAGAGTGCTACGTCATCCTTCCTTACTTTACAATATCGCAGCGTCTGAAGTTGCGGCCTAGATTTTGGTTCTCTGAAGTCGTTTTCAGCCATGGCACGTTGTCGGAGTTGTTGGCTCTTCAAACTGCTCTTGTGTTTGTTTGCAGTGACGGCCAGTACAACGGCCGCTGATGTGGCTGACAAGTGTGGGCAGCCAAATGCCACTCGCATCATTCTTTGGTCGATCATGCGGGCGGGTTCGTCCGCTCTCAGCCGTTCTTTTGCGCAGCGGAGTGACACAAAGCTTCTTTTCGAGCCGTTCACGTCGGTGTATTATCTGGGCCCAGAGCGGGAACACCCCAGGCACACGGACCTCCCTGCAGACCCACAATACACCTACAAGAAGGTGTGGGATCAGCTACTCACTCCCGCAGGCGGCGAAAGCGTGAGCTTTGCCAAAGATTTTGCTGTCACGCTCCCCCGGCGGTGGTGGAGGTCCCAGGAGATGGCAGAAGTGAAGCACAGCTTTCTGATCCGACATCCTGAGCCGGCAATGACTTCCATGCTCCGTGCCTGCAAGGATCCAGAGAGTACCGGCTATTCCTATTTCAATGAGACTGAGATGGGCTACAGTGAGTTAGTGGCGATGTTTGAGTATGTCACCAAGGAGTTGCATCAAGTGCCGCCGGTTATCGACCACGATGATCTCATGGAGCAGCCTGAGGGGGTGCTCCGAAAGTTCCTAGGCTACCTTGGCCTGGACTTTGACGAGCGCATGTTGCACTGGACGACGCCTTTGCCCCCTCACCCGGAGATTTGGGCGGGTTTCTTCGAGAATGCAAACCAATCGAAGGGTTTCAAGCCGACAAGGGTCGAACGAAAGAGCACCGAATCTCCCGCAGAGATTGCAGATGCGATAGCGAGAGCAATGCCAGCATACAGCTTGCTCTTGAGTCACCGGTTGCAGATGTGACTTGAGCTGGCTCGCTCGTGTCACCGCTGCATATCTGGAGAAACTCTGCGTGGCAAAGTCTTGCTGCTCGCCCGCTAATTGCTGGAAGGCCTTGCTTCAGTGGTAGATGCCTTGAAATCACTGTGACCATGGACATCCTTAAGGACGAAATGAACCCCAAAGGCTTTCAGGTTCATATACCCATGTAGGGATTCATAGTATAAGGGTATAGGGCCCCTACTTATAAGGGTCATTTCGTCCCCAAGGATAAGGTAGGGTGGAAACCAGCCTGGGCATCCTACATAAGCCCCAGAGCCTGACATGGTTGGACCCTAGTTGGGTGCTCGGTGCCCCCATCGGGTTTAGGGTTTAGGGTTTAGGGTTTAGGGTTTAGGGTTTAGCGTTTAGGGTCATAGTTGTCGTGTCCCTGGCTTTGACCATTGATTCTTTGAGATCCTCCTGATGAGGGCCTGCCTGGGAATGCAGAATCCCGAGCAAAACGACATGACCACTGTGACTTATGATTCCGCAGGGTTCCGGGTTCCTTGATCTAAAACAACCGTAGTGTAATGAGTGTAATGAGCACTTTTCGAAGTCTGCAGGTTTGCAGTTTTCACAGGCGCGCCCCTCGCGCCTGGCTTTTAGGGACACGGACACGGTTCCCCACGGTTCAGCAGACGACTCTGGAGCTCTTACATCTTCAGCTCGTGCGAATTGAGTAAAATAGGCGCCTTAATAAATACCTATACTATTTTGGGGGTTTCCTTATAATGATAATAATAATAATAATTATTATTATTATGGTGTAGTATACCCCAAAACCCTATTCTGATTATTCAAGCCACTACATTAGAAGAGTAAATGCTCCTTTAAGAGTGTAAGATAACGAACGGTATGCGAAAGGAACTCAATACTGTGGTCATCTGTCATAGCCGCTTCACATTTCAGCATAGATTTCAGTCAGTAGCACTTCGGCAAGACTTGAAACACCATTGGCAAGATGTACTTTAGGAATCATAAGACTAGCAGCAAGATAGACTCCAACCGCCCTCATTCCTAAGCTCAAAAGCCAATCTCTGATCGCCTAGACCTGTAAAGCCCCGTAGCAAACGCACACCTTAACCTTAGACTATGTACCATGCCGTCGAACTCAAAACCGTCGAAGCAATACAGAATAATCCTACACCCTAAACCCTAAACCCTAAACCCTAAACCCTAAACCCTAAACCCTAAACCCTAAACCCTATAATAATCGGTCACAACCCCTAAGACACGGCCACAGGTAAACCGGCCCAACACGCCGCACAACAGATCTTTGGTGGCCTGATTCCCTAACCAAACAACTCTGAACCCTTAACTGCGAAGCCCTAAGCCCTAAACCCCTAATTCCCTAAGCCCTAAACCCTAAGCCCTAAATCCTAAATCCCTAAGCCCTAAACCCTAAACCCCAAACCCCTAAATCCCAAGGCCCCAAATTTCCTAGCCCCTAAGCCGTAGATCCGGAAATGTCTGCACAGGAGCGACCCTTCAATGCCGAGAACCCCATGGCCATGTGACCTGCTTTAGTCTAAGAGCCTTGATAAGTAATATAGGGGCCTCAATACTTCGAACAGGGGTTTGGGGACTCCTCATTGTAATTATAGCATAGTAGACCCCAAAACCTTGATGAGTAATATAGGGGCCTTAATACTTCGAAGAGGGTTTGGGGGGGCACCTAAGTAATTCGAAAAGGGTTTTGGGGGCTCCTTCATGATTCGAATAGGGTTTGGGGCGCTCCTCATTGTGATTATAGTATAGTAGACATCAAGACCCTCATTCTAAGTATATTCGAATAGGGTTTTGGGGGCTCCTTATTGAGATTATAGCATAGTAGACCCCAAAACCCTTATTCCAAGTATATTCGAATAGGGTTTTGGTGGCTTCTTATTGTGATTATAGCATAGTAGACCCCAAGACCCTTATTATCATTATCAAGGCCCCCTACAGTAAAATCCGAACTGAAAGGCAGTCTCGTAGTAGTATACTGGGCTTTGGAGTACCATAATTTCATACTTTTTTGGGGGACCTGTTCCTTAAAGTAACCATCATGAAAACTTTTTTCTTCCTGGTTACTTCAAAGCCCAGTATACTACGAGGGCTTTTTAAGAGTGTCGTAAGAGTTTAGGAAACAGGAGCGTTGCCAATTAGAATCGGTTTGTTCGGTTATGAAGACCAGAACGAGCCTTGAGGAAGAAACGTTCGAGTTCTGATTGTTCAGGCTCCGGATTCTTGATTCCCTAAACCCTAAACCCTAAACCCTAAACCCTAAACCCAAAACCCTTGAGGTCTTGAGGCTCAGAGTTTTATGCGGTTTGGGTCTCGCTTTGGGGCATCAGGGGTTTAGGATTTCGCGAGGGTCATGCTGGGTGATAAACTCCTGAATATATAATTGGTTCAACCAAAAAAAGGAACTACAATGGAGACTATAGGTAGGGGTCCTTTTTGCTCTTGGTGGTTCGCTGCCCCAAAGTTAAACGATTCTAGTTATTCCGACCCTTCAATACACCATAAACCCCAAACCCTAGACCCCTAAACCCTTAAACTCCAGACCCCTAAACCCCCAAACCCCTAAACCCCTAAACCCTAAACCCTAGACCCCTAAACCCCTAAACCCCTAAACTCCAGACCCCTAAACCCCCAAACCCCTAAACCCTAAAGCCTAAACCCCTAAACCCCCAAACCCTAAACCCTAAACCCTAGACCCCTAAACCCCGAAACCCTAAACCCTACACAAAAGAAAACCTAGACCCCTAAACCCCTAAACCCCTAAAAACCCCTATAGACCCTTATACACCCCTATAGACCCCCAGAAACCCCAAGCCCGAAAGCCTGGTGCCTTGTGGAGGTACGCGCAGCTGAAGCTGACGCAGCTGAACCTGGATCCGGCTCCTGGGCTTCGCGCATTAAGGGCCACCGTCTTCCGAAAGACGGGGAGGGTCTTTTGGGTCAAGGGCTTACGGTTTGGGGGTTTTAGGGTTTAGGGTTTTTGGGTTTAGGGTTTTTGAGTTTAGGGTTTTAGGGTTTAGGGTTTTAGGGTTTAGGGTTTTTGGGTTTAGGGTTTTTGGGTTTAGGGTTTTAGGGTTTAGGGCTCAAGTGGGGGCTTCTCGGCATCGCAGGCTGAAGCTTCACGTTCAGCATTTTCCATCTGCTGTGGAGGATCTATGTCCTGCCTAAACTCTACAAACCCTAAACCC